TGCAATGATGCACCTTGAAGACGGTGCACTGAAGTCCTGATAACTACTCTCAATTGTTATCGCTTTTGACCATTATACAGTAGGTCCTTTTACATATGAACATTGTACTTCGACGAACTGTTTAATTCTTTCTCGTATGTGGAACAAGGGTCTTGCGTACTCATTAATTCATAGTAGATCATTCTGATTGAGCTAGACCCCGTGATATTTTTCACTTTTGAGTTTTTCACTTAAAAATTCTCTACCTGTCACTCTTATTATTTCTCTCTGTTGAAATTTTGTGCAACATAAGATGCTAAATAATTACTTTACTGCCATGATTCTTCTGTCATGTAACTCACCTCCCTGCTAAAGTCAATTCTTAAACACCTTCTATGAGTCTTAAAACTATATCATATGATATCAGAGCCCGACAAACCCTAAATTTTAAGGTTTTGTCTTTCTTGCCCAAATCCAAAATTAAAAAAGTTCTTCGCCATACCCAAAGTACTTCTACTGCAATTCCTAGCCACAACCCTAATTTCAAAATCCAACATTTTTGCGCTCATTAATATTCCACTTGACACCTACTGCCAAAATCTATGCCCACAACCAACTTGCAATTTAGATATGCCTAAAACCTATTTGGGTGAAAAGGCATGTTACCATGTACAAACCTCAATGAACTGTCAAGGAATTTACTATGGAGGATAATACAACGGGAAATCGTCCAACTGCAACAAAAAATTTTCATTTTTAAGAGAAGACAATCTGGTGAAGCCACCCATAACCACAACGGTGACTCGCCAGATTGCGTGGAGGAAGTGAATCCCTCCTTTTGGGAAGTTTTTAGTGATGAAGAACCAATACTCTGGTGATTTAGCATAAAATATCAAAGAAGTCGGGATCTTTGAGTAAAGGTGAATTTTCATCATATTTTAACAATCACATGGATCTGAATGAGTTTATTGAGTGACTCCAAACAGTATAATAATTTTTTGAGTACAAAAACATTTTCCAGAACAAACGAGTTAAATTTGTAGCCATTAACCTCAGGAATAATGGTTTCTTATGGTGGAATAACTCAAAGTGTCTTCGTCAGCAAGAGAGGAAAAGTAAAATCACTATTTGGTTTAAGATGAAAGGGAGATACATCGCAAATATATTCTCGTGTATTACTAATATGATATGTTCATGAAACTCTACCACTTGTGCCAAGGAGATTATTTGTGGAGTACGCAACTAAATTTAATCAACTCATACTAAAATGTGAGTTGATAGAAAAAGAGGAGCGCACAATAACGAGATATCTTAGAGGACTAAGGTTGTCTATTAGTAATGTGGCGCAACTACAGACATATTGATCCCTATTTGATGTATAGATTATAGCTTTAAAGGTGGAGAAACAATCTCATTCAATGAACGTCACACCTATTAGACAAAGTGTAACCTTAGGATCGGGCAACAAGTGTATGCTCAATGGAGCATCCCAGCTTACCCTGTGCCTAGGCGCCAACATAGGGGGCGCATATGCGCCACCCCTCCCTAATTTTTTTTTTACCATTTTCACTCCACTTTTCTTCAAACATCGCGTGGTGGGGGGTCTGATGGACCCTCGAACCTAGGGCTGTCAAAAAAGCTCGTTGTTCACGAACAGTTCGTGTTAGGTTCGTTAATGAGTTCGTGTTCGATTCGTTCGATAAATAAACGAGACGAACGTAAACAATTTTTTTCGTTCGGTTAGTTAAAAGAACAAAACACGAACAGTGATACATTCGTTCGTGTTCGAATCATTATTGTTCGAAATATAAAATAATTTAAAATAATTATATATAAAAATTTATGGTATTTTAAAAAATTAAATTTTATAAATTATAATATATAATAAATAAACCACCGTTAGGGGCCGGATACTACCCCAACGGTCTAGACTCTAATTTTGGGCCCGGTGGTCTACATGACCGTTTTTATCGACCCGGAAGCTATGGAAAGGTGTGTGTCGCTAGGATACGACTCTGTAGCTTACAATAAACATTTTGGAAGCTCTGAATTGGGGGTTCGAATGCCGACGGGCCCCCAGACACTGATTTTTACCGGAAATGTCCGGCTGAGGATTTCTTCAATCTGAAAGTTGTGGGAGACTACATATGACTGAAATATGATCCCACAACTTCAAAAATGAACACTTTTATCGATCGTTTACCAAGGGATTCGTTATAGACGGTCGCCTTAAGCCACGGTGCTGGTTGGTCGGTTCAGACCCTAATTTCCCTGCAATGTGCGTAGGAGGACTCAATGACTTCCCATGGCCACATTTGGCTTCAGACGAACGTGCGGTGACTTCTAAACACTAGAATGGGCAGCACATATGTCCCGTGTCTTGACTAAGCCCCTTCGACAGCGGGTTCTCCCCGGTAAGGCTAAATCACAGTCAACCTTAGTTATGTGCACCGAACATGTGTTAGAGAGTTCTGAATGGGTGTCTCAAGCTACGGGATGTTATGGACGAACCATAAATTATCTCGAGTCGTGCAGGCGGACACCTACAATCGTGACATCAGAAAGTGATGCCAACAAAAACATCTAAACATCAATCATAATGGAAAAAAATGAGTTCTTTCTCACAAATTTTGGTGCTTAATGAGGCCAGAAGAAATAGTAAACCATAAGAACCGCTCAATAGGATGAATGACGAGCACTCTTAGCAACTTCTTGTGGACATATGCAAAAGAGTTTGCTCTAGGATAGCCTTCAGCCTGTGACAGGGAGAGCTTTGGGAAGCTTGCCTGTAGAGATGCGGGAAGCCTGTAGTTGGGAGAGATTTTTGAAGCCCGCATCACAGACAGCTCTCAGAAGGAAATTATGGTGGTTGTTGGAGGGTTCCAACAAAAGGAGGAAGCTAGGGTTTGTTCCCAAGCTTTGATACCATGTAGATTACTTGGTTCGGAAATTTACTCTCTTTATTATTCAAAAATAGTGTACATATATATAGGGAAACTAATCTCTCCTTATTTACAAACATAACAAATATGTTTAACCTAAATTAGAAAAATAAAAAATTCTGAATAAAAAAATAGAAAAAAAACGTAAAATAAGATGAGAATAAACCAGTTAAAGGTTTCCGAAGATTTCTCAATCATATCCTCAAAGATTTGGAGGTGATGGCTGACCCACATAAGAGAAGTGAATATTGAAAAGAACTCAATCTTCTCATATTTTCACACTTTTTTTTTTTTGCTTTTATTTTAAAAGCATGTTTGTTTGGTACATTGTTGCATGTTTTAATTTCTACTTTTAAAAATAAATTAGTTTATTTTTAAAAACACTCAAAACATCTAAAAATTATTTTGAGTGCTTTAAAAACAACTAAGCATGTTATATCATATCAATCATATTTTGATTTAAATCATAACATAAACAAAACAATATAAAATAAAAAATAAATATCAAATGTGATCCCAAACAACCCCTTAACATCTCTAACGTATATTCTTATGGTTGTTATTTTTATAATCTTATTTTATCATACTCTCTGATAAGCTAAAAATATTGTGATGCAGATGCGTTGTGGCATATGCTTCAGATCTCATATTCTCTGGCGTTAGCCTAGATCCTCACAGGCAAAAAGGTCTCAAGACTGCATTGCTCAGTCTGGATCACTCGTATGATTTCTTTACTCTGGTTGTTCCCCCTTTTTTTTTTTCTTGTGGATTGCTTAAACTTTGAATTATATATTTTTTTTGTAGCATTAGTTTTTTTTATAACTTTGCTAACAACATTTTTCTAGAATTATTTTTCTTTTTGATGAGCATCATTCGCTTTTTTGTAGCTATATTTTGACGTAAATATAGGTCACACTGTTCAGAGAAAATTTCTTAAAAACAAGTCCTTGTTTTTTTCTTGGGGAACATTTACTTAACTAGCACACAATTCTTATGTATTTACATATCTCACACCTAAACTTTCATTTTTACGTAGCATTTTAGTATTTTAAACCTATGCATAAAAATGTTTCTTTTACTTTTAAAAAGCAGTAATAGTGCTGTTTTTTTATGTGATATTAATAATTTGAGTGTTATGCGTATAAATATGAAAGTTCATATGTGAGATGTATAAATACATTAGAATTGTTTATTACGTATGTAATTGCGCCCTTTTTTCCGCGGACTGCTTAAATTTTGAATTACCTTTATAATTAATGATATTTTTAGTAGTATGAGCTTTCTTATGACTTTTTAAACATTTTTCCAGAACTGTCATTCTTTTTTTTTATAAATGAAAATTGCATCTCTCTTGCAAAAGATCAGCATCATTCGCTTTTTGTAGCTATAATTTGATGAAAAAAATGGTCACGTTGGTCAGTGAACTCTCTCAAAAACAAGTCCTTGTTCTTTTTCTTTATTGCATGCTTAATTTGTGGGCTTGCAGTACATACCTGTAGATGTTTTATCGGACTAAACTTCTTAGAGCTTCAGTTTATTGATCCGTTGAATTCTAAGATATCTCCCTAATTTTAATTGGTGATCAAATGATGAGCTTTTGAATATTAAATCATCCTTAACCTATAAAAGCTTGCATTTGTTTGCTGACAACTCAAGAAAGTTAAGTTCTACTAAAATTTTAGTTTTGCTCTCTCTTTTTTCGAAAACAAATGATATTGTCAGATGATAAAAGTGTCAAAATAGTCTCCAACTTTTTGTGAGCGATCATTTTAGTCCTAGAGTCTATGCAAGTGCCAATTTAGTCCACAATCTCCTTTAATAAGGATTGAAATAGTCTACATGGAGAACTATTTCAGCCCCAATTTAAAGATTATGGGGACTGATTTAACACTTCTATAAATTTCGGAGTTAAAATGATCCCATTAAATACTCAACGGACAATTTTGATACTTTACTCAGGTATATGAATCACAACAAATCGGCACGTGTTTGGACAGTTTAGGAATCATACAAAACTAAACCATCTTGTTTAAATAAAAATATTACTCCTGATGATGTCGTATTATTTAAATAAAGTTTGATTCAATAATAACATAAAAATTTTTAAATACTCTATTCTTACGTCATATTATTTAAATTAAATTTTAATAAATATGGCATATTTAATTATATATTTGATTGTAACATAGTATAATTTAATATAAATATGCATATAAATTTAATGCATTTTTTTTAATTTTAATGAACTAATTTATTAGTATTTATTTATGTTATTTGATTGTAAGAAAGCTTATTGATAATTTATATACTAGTTGGTATAAACTAGTTGGAAGCCAATTTAAAATTTAATTAATTAATTATTTATTTAAATTTGTAAAATTATTTTGTAATCACTTCGCAAATATTCATTCGAATTTTTAGCTTGTTTGGTAATTTTATATGAAAAATGAAGTATAAATCATAATTTTAAATTAAAAAATTAAGTGCTTGTTTGAATTGTTTGTTTGTTCAATTAATATAAATAGAGAGCAATTACATTCATGTCACTCAATTCTTACGTCTTTACATATCTAACACTTAAACTTTGCTTTTTATATATATACCACTCAAAATTTTCATATCAAATAAAACATTCCACCTCTTTAACTTTTAAAAAGTGAAATATACCAGTCATGCATGGATAAGGTGGTATGTATGTAAAAATTGAAGTTTAGGTATTAGATATGGAAATTGAGAGGTATATATTTAAATATACATATTAACAAGCCAAGGACAAATCAAGAATGAACATAAAAAAATTTAAGCAAAGTCAAATATGAATGTATGTGCGAAAGCTCAACTCAAGCTCGAACTAAACATGAACAACTTATGATTCGCCCAATCCAAATCCATTCCATTACATATTCAACTGGACTCGGCTCGATTTTTTTTTAATTACCAAACTGATGCAGATAAAAATGAAAATTACGGGTTGGATTGGGGTTTTATCGTGAATTTTGATATTTAAGTGAGAATTTGCAGAATGGATGAAAGAGAGTGCTAGTTTGTAAATAACAATGTTTCGAGTGCTATGTATGTAATTGCATGGTAACAATTTTATGTTTTTCAGGATGTGGTTCCACAGATCTGTCAAAGCTGACGACTGGTTATTGTTTGTGGTAGTTTTTTATATCCACTGTTTGCTTTATGTAAAATTATAATTATCAATCTCTTATTCTGTATTCTTCATGTATTTTGATAGATAGAGAGCCCTTCGGCCTTTGGCGGACGAGGATTCGTCACCGGCCGAATGTTTAACCAAAAAGGCGAGGTAAATGAATCATCAACAATTTCTAAGGGTTTATTTGTGATCAATTTTATGTTTATTTTTTCTTTTATTTTTAAGAATGTTTCTAGTTTGGTTTTTAACCTAAAAAAAAAAAAAAAAAATTACCTTAAAAAAAATACAAACAAATTAACATGTTTTTGAAAATGAGTAAAGTGTCAAAATTGTCTTAAACTATTTACGCGGGCTCATTTCAGTCTCGTAATTTATAGAAGTGTCAAAATAGTCCCTGAATATTTTAAAATTGAGCTCTAATATTCCTCAATGAGGACTATTTCAACCCCAATTTAAATAGTTTCGGGACTATTTTGATACTTCTATAAGCTTGACGATTAGAACGAACCCCATGCTAACAAGTTCTAAATTTTTGTGAAGAACACTCAGCCATCTTCATATTTTTGTCCAGCTTATTGTTTCACTAACACAAGAAGCTCTGATTCGGAAAGCAAAAACACAGAACCAGGTCCCTCAGTCAAAACTCTAGAGCTGGTTTGTACCTAATACTCCCATTCTCAACGAAAGTTGCAGAAATATTTTTTACATATCTACCACCTTAACTCACGTTTACATGCATGCCACTCAAATCTTTAACATACCATAAAATGACACCCAGGTGTTAAAAGTGAAAAATATAAAACTTTGGGTGTTGGATATGTAAATGCATAAAATTGTGTGGTATGTATGTAAATTCCCCTTAGTTATATACTTGTTCTTCATGGCTTAATCTCAATGTCTGATAATCACATTTCAATTTGTAATTTATAGTTTGCCAGTACCAGAAGAACAGGAAACCATGGGTATTGGTGGAGCAGTACTACAGTTTCAATTTACTTCCCAATATTAAGCTTCTATTTTATGAAATTTTCTACAAATTATGGGCTTATGTGTAAATACTGATGATTTTGTTGTTGTAGCTAATAATAAGCTGATTTATCTGCAGAAAAAAAAAAAAAATTATTGAAGTGCTGAAGAATTTGTGATGATTACAAGAAGTTGTGGGATGTGTAATGAAGTCTCTTATAGCTTATGGAAATAGTTGTAAGAATAAGCTCTTCACATTGTTCATAAATTACTCTGGGAATTAGATTTTAAGTTTCTTTTTATTTTTTTTAATATAATATGCCGCACTAAATTTATTTATTTATTTTTAATGATCATTGTCAAATTATAAAATATGTTATTTAAATTTATGATATTGGAAATTATATATTTTGGGGTATTGCAAGGCAACAGAGAAGGAGAGAAAAACCTTGCAAGGAAGCAAATGGATGGAGGTCTCTTTTACGAGAAATGAAGCGCAAGGTAGCCCCTAAGGCAAGGAGTCACGCATGATTAGGGGAGTCACGCATGATTAGGGCTGTCAAAACAGTCTGTTGTTCGCTAACAGCTCGTATTTGGCTCGTTAAGAAGTGATTTTTGATTCATTCGTTAAGTTAACGAGCGGAACATAGATAATTTTTTTTTGTGCAATATATTAAACGAATCGAACATGAACAAAAAATTGTTCGTTCATGTTCTGGTCGTTTTGGTTTGAAATACTACGCACCAATAATATATATATTTATTGATGATTAGTATTTTGAAAAAAATTAATTGACTATAAGGTTACAAAGATTTATAATCATTAAAATTTTTAATTAAAAAAATAAAATAAAAATATGTTAAATTATTATTTAAATATTGTTTTAATATAAATAATTAAGATTTAAATTTTGCCCCTACGGTAAACTATAATATGACTGCGTGATTAGAGTTGTCAAAATGACTTTGTTCACGAACAACTCGTGTGCGGCGGCTCGCTAAGCAAACGAGCTGAACACGAACACGCGTTTTGTGTTTAAATATAAACGAGTCGAACACGAGTTGAGTTTAGGCTTGCTCATATTCGGCTTGTTTATACCCCTACACATGATAATTTGAGTTTGGGCTAGATTTTGGCTGTATTTTTAATGTCAAGTTGTTAACTGTTTTGAAAATTATAAACTCTGTGTATTTAAATTTTACTTTAATGTTAATGATAACCAAACAACAAAATGTCAAATTTATGTATTTATTTTTACTTTATTTTCTATTTTTCAACAAATCAAACAAACTCTTAGAAGAAACTTACTCTTTTTTTGTGATTTTTGCTTGTTTTCTTTATAAATGCAGAAATAAATTTACGTTTTTATTAAAAAAAAAATTATGATATTAGATGAATTTAAATGTCATAAAAGGTTATTATATTAAATAATAATAATTTTAATAATCAATTTAATTAAAAAATTAAAATATTGTAAATATTTGTTTAACAAAGTTCGTGGAAGTTATTATTAGAAATTATTTATGTTAAATTATAAATTAACATTTAAATGTTAAAGACTTGATGCCGCTCATACAGTTTTTTTGGAAGTATAATTGTCTAATATTGTAAAATATTTTAGATCTTAATTAAAATGTTACTTACTAATTATTTAATTTTAAATTTGCAATCAATTTTATTGTTAATTAATATATATTTAATAATTAATTAAATTCATAAATTCTATTTTTGATTTGACGCGAATAAAAAATATGAAATAATTTTTAAATATATTTTTTATTTTTGCAAAATCTGTAAGCATAGAGAAAAATTTGCATATATAACAAGTACGCAGGGTTGTATATATTTGAGTTATATGGAGGTTACAAGGAGATTATATGGAGGTTACATGGATATAAAAAAGATGTAACCTCTATAACTTCCCTATAACCTCGTTATAACCCTAAATATACGCAGCCCTGCGAACTTGTTAGGTACGCAAATTTTTCTCGTAAGCATAAGCCGTTTTAACAAATTTCAGTTTATTTTCAAAAAAAGAAAACTAATTTACTTTACATTTTAATTAAATACAACTTCAATTTTTTTTATTAAAAAAATGAAAAAATTACAATTTTTCATGTAGTTATGATAATAAAATGTTATATAAATAAATATTAAAAATAAAAATATATAAGGATTAGATAGTAATTATGTAAATCTATAAAAGAAAGGATCTGAGCCTTACCCACAGAGGCGTTGGCCATTGGAGCAGACTATCAGAGCGATAATGGCCGCGTATACTCTGCCACCGCTACAGTGTATCCGGTCTTGCTTCCCTTCCATAAATTGTTCATGCCCAGATATCCGATTCTCCTCTGTCTCGTCTTCCTCCTCTGAGCTCCGCAGTCACTCCATCTTCATGAATGGAAGGAGAGCAATCTTGCCAGTCAGAACAAGAGCATCGTCTGAAGGTTCTCAGATCACCTAACCCACCACAATCTTTATGTTTAATCTGAGCATTTTAATTTGTTTAGTTTTCGGCACGTCGAATCCTGATTTGTCCGTAAATCACACTTCAAAGAATAGAGTGGGAGAAAAAAAGAGAAATAAAGAGAGGAGTGAACAGTAATGAACACTAATTCTTCTTGTCTATTCTTTCTATTCTCATAAAATGATCTCCCACTTATATAGAAGAAAAGAGGGTATAAATGTACAATATAGTGATATTATATTTTTACTCTACTTTGTTGAGAGCTATACACGATATTTTAAGTATTTTATATATATGAGTTTCTATCGCTTGACTGCTCTCTAGCTTAGTCATCTGATCATGTTTGACTTCGGCTTCATAAGGCCGGTTCAATCAATTAAACTGAGTTGGTATTGTTTAGTTAATTTCGAGTCGACAAGACTGATTTGATCGGCTAGGTTTTGACAATGAGTTGATCTAGTATGACTGTCGACCCTCGATTTCTAGATGTGAAGCTCCTATGACAGAGCAAGAAAGACATTCGGGTAGAGGGTGAATTATTATAATTCAATAAATACATTGTTCCTCAATGAGGAGAGCCAATAGGATGACTATAAGACTCTATTGTATCGTCACTTCTTGATACCTAATGAGTAGCCTCGGAGGCGTTCGTGTTATAGCTGGTGTTATTAAGAAACTGGGTCTTTCCTCGAGTTGGATCTATCAGAAGGTAGGTTGTTGCCTTTGGTTGGTTTTCTTAAAGTGATTGGTTCAAATGCTTGTTTGTCTTGTTTTAGTCTGATTAGTACTAATTTGGATTAATCGGTCATCCTTTTATTCTTCTCCTTATTCGGTCGGCTTTAGGCTTTTGCTCTGACGGCTACATCCGGTCGATCTTTAGCTTTGGCTCGGGTGGTTGCATCTGGTTGGATAAGCGGGCATCTTAGTCTTCTATCGGTGGGTCTTTCTTTACTGTTATTTCTTCTTTCTCGATGTTAGATCTCCTCAAGATCAGCGTTGACACATTTTTATGTGCACAACAATTAAGATTTTAGGGTTTATGAAAATGCTTCTTTCCCGCCCATATCAGCACATGTTGTAGTTTGGTTGTTCACTTTGTTTCGGTTCCAATTGATTTCAATGGTGTGTTGTTTTGCGGGAGTGTTAATAATGATTGTTTTCCTGGTTAATATAAATTTCTTCTTAAAGCATGGTTAAGGAAGAATCAAAGTTGGTTCTCTTGCTCTCTAAGTCTTTCTTGATAGGATTAGCTCTTATTTTCTTTATGTTTTTTTTTAATGAATATTTCCTTGAAGTTGCTATTTAGTTTATTCTTAATTGTGATTTCTTTCCTTTTTTTGTTTTTTGTTTTTTGTTTTTGTGTAGTTTGTTTGATGAGCTATTTCGGTTGACTGCAAATTGATAGGAAAGTAGGCTAATTGAACTGGTGGACTTATTCATTATATATCACTTGATGGTGAAATTATTTACATACATACCATGCAATTCTTATGTATTTACATGTCTGACACCCAAAGTTGGATTTTTACACTTATAGCACCTTGGCGTCACGAGCCTTTGCATGAATAAATATATTTCACTTTTAAGAAGATCATGATTGTGATATTTTCTTATGTGATGCTAATGATTTGAGTGGTATGTATGTAAATATGAATGTTTAGGTATTATATATGTAAATATATAAGAGTTCTGTGGTATGTATTTAAATGTCCTTATTATGAATTTGAAGAGTTTGTTATGAAATAGCCATGAAGTGTTTGAAGAAAAGACAACTGCATCTGAAGGAAGTAACACTATTGGTGGTGTCGCAACTTGTGTTAGTCAAGATAAAAGTATAGTGATAACCGATGATAGATATTGCTGGCAAATTCAAAAGGAGATTTATTTTGAATAGCTCCATGATGCAAAACATGTGAAACAACCAAAAATGAAATAATGGTGGGTTACTTTTCTAAAATGTGTCATTTTATTCCATGTAATAATTGTATGTTTGGTTGCAGATAGCCAAGTTGTAGTTTATTGACATGTTAATAATTGCATACTTTTACCCCAAAAAGGGATATTTACTACATAGGACACAATTCTTTTTTATTTACATATCTCTAAATGTTTGTATTTACATACATAGCACTCAAATCTTTAATATCACATCATAAATAGCACTTTTACCACTTTTTAAATGTGAAATACATCTTATTATGCATAGGTTTAAAGCACCAAAGTTCTTTGTAAATATGTAAGTTTAGTTGTGAGATATGTTAATATATGAGAATAGTGTGCTATATGTAAATTTCTCAAAAAAAAAAAAAAAACAATTGTGTTTAATAGATATGTGAAAACAATTATTTGTTATGTTTATGAAAATTTCTATGAAAAATTGTACTAAAAAAAATTATTGGTCTTATATCCCATAATTGATGGAAAAATGAAGTGGTTAGCAAACTTTTTCTTGATCTTTTACAATGATTGATAAAAGAGAATGATTTATAATAATGTATGATTGAGTTAGAATATAATTTATTTATTAATAAATTTATATGTTTGAGTCAATTCAAATAGTCAAAAGATATCAACCTAGAAAAGTTATAGATCTTGTTGAACTTTTTATTGAGTCAATAATTAACAAATTTGACATTCATTTATGTAACACATGCATGAATTACATGAAAATAATTGCAGAAAGCAGGATGCTAATTATGATAATATATTGTAAATATGAACAAAAGAAATGTGAGATTCAATGCAAGCAATAAAGTAATGGTTTGCTTAAAATTTGAAAGATTTCTTATAGGGACCTTCAAAAAGTTAAGTTCCAGAAAATTCAGACAATGTAAAACATGCAATTTATTGGAATGAACATATATGGTTTAGCAATCCTAAAAAAAAATGGGATTGATGTGATGAATTTGATTTTACATGATGAACTATTGATCAATATCTTTGATTCTTCACTTTTTTCAAGATATCCAACACATCATGAGGATGTTTTGAGTTTGGTTTTGTGAAACCTTATTTGTTTTTGTTTATGTTGTGCTCAATTAAGTCAACCCATGGATCTTGTGCACATCAACAATATGTAAGTTTCATATTTTCATTTAATTCTAATAAATTAAGATCATTTTTTATACAATAAACTCAAGTCTTTCTAGGTTTACCTCTACTTTTCTTAACGTAAGTCGGGTCTAAAATATATACTCTCATAACCGGATCATCAGATAGTCAATGTTTAATGTGACCAAACCATTTAAGATGACTCTCTCTCTAATTTTGTCTGTCACTGGAGCTACACCAATCCTGTCACGCATATATTCCTTTCGCATATTGTCTCTAAGTGTTAAGCCACTCATCCACCTAAGCATTCTCGTCTCAGCAACACGTAACTTTACCTCTACTTTTCTTAACGTAAGTCGGGTCTAAAATATATACTCTCATAACCGGATCATCAGATAGTCAATGTTTAATGTGACCAAACCATTTAAGATGACTCTCTCTCTAATTTTGTCTGTCACTGGAGCTACACCAATCCTGTCACGCATATATTCCTTTCGCATATTGTCTCTAAGTGTTAAGCCACTCATCCACCTAAGCATTCTCGTCTCAGCAACACGTAACTTTGTTTTATACTTCTTTTTTAAAGGCCAACATTTTGCGTCATAGAGCATTGTAGGTCTCATCACTGTCTTATAAAATCTTCCTTTCAGTCTAAGTGGTACTTTTCTATCACATAATAGTTTTGAAGCACTCCTCCACTTTAACCAACCAACTTGAATTCTACTAACAACAATCCCAACTATATCACCATCACTTTGAACAATAGACCCGAGATATCTGAGCATTCACATTTTTTTAATGATTTAATCACACATAGTTACAACTGTGTCACTAGAGTTACTACTACTATATTATATGCATGTATAGCTTCCTTGTTAGACCTACCCGACATACATCTAAACTGATTATGAGTAATCTTCGTAACATGTCTTAGCCTATGTTCAATTACCCCCTCCCATAATTTTAAAGTATGACACATCAACTTAATTCCTCTATAATTTGCACACTCTTTTGCATCCCTTCATTCTTAAAAATGGAGATCAAAATACTCTTCCTCCACTCTTTAGACATTTTTTTAGTTTTTAAAATAATAATAAAGAGTTTAGTAAGCCAAGAAACTCCCAATCTCTTAAATATTTCTACACTTCAATTGGGATATCATTAAGTTCTACTGATTTTTCACCCTTGATTTTTCTTAAAGTCTCATCAACATTTTTACTAATACGATGGTAAAAATAAAATATTTTATTATCATTAATGATATTAAGATCACTAAGGTCGATCATATTTTCAAAAACTTCATTGAAAAGTATATCAAAATAGCTAACCCAACTATGTTAAATATCTTTTTCTAAGAAAAACATGTTTTGATTTTCAAATTTAATACACTCTACTTGAGTTAAATTTGTACATTTCATTTCTCTTTGTTTGGCTAGTTTATACATATATTTTTCACCATGTTTAGTATCTAAACTTATATAAAGATCATTAAAAGTAAAATTTTTAGCCTCACAAGTTATTCTCTTAGACTACCTACAGACCACTTTATATTTTTCTTAGTTCTCTAAACTTTTACATTTAAACCAATTTTTATAACACAACCTCAACCTTTTATATTTTATCTTTTTTTTACACTTTATTATTCAACCACCAACTATTTTTATTTATAGAAATTTTTTCTTTTAGTTCTCCAAGTATATCTTTTGTCATTTGCTTAATAGTATTTGTTACTTTTTCTCATATAGAATTTACTTTTCCGTGAAAATCTCAAATCTTGAAATCTAAAATTTTATTCATAAAATTAATTTTATTTGTCTTTTAGGTGCTCCCATTTAATTTCATGATAATGATTCATAGTATTTTTTTATCTTACAAACCTTCATCTTAAAATCCAAAACTAATAATCGATGTTACTTTGAATGACCTTACAGTTTATACATTTTCGATGATCTCTTATTCTCATAAGAAAATAATTAATTTGTGTTTTATTAGATCCATTCTTACAAGTAATAATATGTTCATCTCTTTTTTTAAATAAAGTATTAGCAATAACAAAATCATATGCTAAAATAAAACTTAATATGACTGTCTTCTTCATTAATCACTCCAAAATCATAGCCACTATAAATATTTTTAAAACCTTCTGTCACTTTATCAACATGTTCATTTAAATCTCCTTCAATAAAAATTTTTTCTTCAATAGGTATTATTTGTATTAATTCTTGTAGTTCATTCCAGAATTTTTCTTTAGAACCCATATTTAAACCTACTTGAGCAGCATAAGTATTTATAATATTAAAAAATATTAGTATCAATAACAATCTTAAGAGCTATAATTCTATCTCCAAAATCATAGCCACCATAAATATTTCTAAAAGCTTATGTCACTCTACCAAGATGTCCATTTGAATCTCCTCAAATAAATTTTTTTTTTCTTCAATAGGTATCATTTGTATTAATTCTTCAAGTTTATTCCAGAGTTTTTCTTCAGAACTTATATCTAAACCTACTTAAGGAGCATAATCACTTATAATATTAAAAATCTTAGTATCAAGCACCATCTTAACGGCTATAATTCTATCTCTAATTCTATTTATTTATGATCAATTGAAAATTTTAAAAAAAAATCTTTTTATGGATTACCCATTTTTGTAGTAGAAGACACTACCACTAGATCTAGGCCGAAGGAGATAATAGACATTAATATAAAATGTTGGTCGCTAAATAATGATAGTTGGTATACGAAAAATTTTTCATGATTTAAGCATCAGATCAACATTCATGTTATGGTAGAATAAAGATGAGTTTGAATTTGTTTGGATAAATTTGGTTTCTATTTGTACTTATCAGTTCGTTATTACAAATAGGATTTTCTTCTTTTGTAGAGTTTTTTTAGGAGTGGATTAAATCTTTTCTCATTTGTAATTACCTATTAAAGGATTGATTTCTGGAATAAAAGCTATTGGAAAATCTTCCCCAAAATCCTTCTTCTTCTTCATTCCCTTTCTTCTCCCAACCAGCTCAGCTCTTCGATCAATTGAAGGTTTTTTGATACTTTTCCTGAAGTTGAAACTTCAAAAATCCTTTCTGGGGCTGATTTCCAGTAGCATTGCAGCCTGTTGTTGCTGCTGTTGGAAATCATGGCTGGGAAAGCTATCCAAAATAAGAGAACAAAATTAAAAAGGTTGATCCTATTACTGTGAAAAGCTATTTGACTTATATTTATTCTGAGATGAACTATCATCCATGCATGATAAATTATATTTAGGGTTTGAAGAAATTTGGGCAACTTATCAACACGTTATGACACATTTTTTATGACTTGTTATATCGACAGGTCAAATGTTATATTAATGATGTGGTTGTTAAAAGTTGTTGAGAAGACCATTTTATTGACTTGAAGAGTGTTTTAAAATGCCTCAAGCCATATATGGTCTTAAAATAAACCCTTTGGCATGTGTATTAGGCGTGTCATCAAGGAAACTTTTGAGGATAATTGTTTAGCATGGGGGCATAGAGGTCGATCCTACAAAGATAACGGCTATTGTAGAAATGGAGCCAAACTAGAATTGGAGACTCCAAACACAAATTCTCCTATTTTTCACATGCTGTTTTATTATGTCTTTTATCATGTTATTCGTATCACGCTACATTAAGCATGAGCGTACAACTAGAATTCTACACGAGCCATCATGCTTTATTGATCTGGATAAACTACATGGTTATCGCAGACTTGTTGGATAGATTCAGCTGCATTTACAATGATTGGCACTTCATTTATAGAGGAATCCTATTGATTTTATTTTTGGTGAGTGATTTGGAGCACGTATGAATATAATTAATTAAATCATATTCCATTGGTGAACAATTTTCTACTTTGGGGCATTTACATTAACACCTAAACTTATCCTATTGCTCAAGTTACACAACAATGCTTCATGGTAATTTGGTTCATCTCTACCAATGATTTTACCTTATTTAAATTCTTTGTAGAGGAATTTTTCCCAATATTGCGTCATTTTAATGTTTTATTGTTTCCTTTTAATTCAAAGTATTGGATCTTTTCTTTTTAAAGGGGCTCCAAGCGAATTGGTTGAGGACCCTAAATTTGTTCCATTAAATGCTGATGATCCAGTATTTGGTCCCCCAGTAAGTTGTGGCAGTTACTATAATGATTATAAAACTATATGATGACTCTTTTAGGCATGAATAGTTTTCTGCAATTCATTCTTACATATATATTACTTCTAATAGTTTCGCATATCAAACAAATGTTTCTTTTGATAGGCTTTATTTCTGATGGGATTTGACTTGGCAGAAACCAGTAAGGTGCTTATGCTTCTGATTTATTTTCAGTTACATTGTATTATATTTGGCCCTCATGGATTAAACGGGCATTGATTTTGTATGGTAAAGGGACTAAAGTAGAACACCCTTTTTCATGTCATGATTTGTAAATGAGGGATTGATGAAATTCAGAATAATGCAGAATATAAGCGGCATTCAGGATAATTTTATTGATATGAAAGCGGATATAAATAATCCTTACATGATCCTAGAATAGGAAAGATAATAAAAAGAAATAATATAAAAATGAAAGATATTTCACCTAATATCTCCAATAATTAAATCAGATCAATTATTTGGAGATAAAGGAAATAACATAAAATAGTAAAGCCTAAAATAGGGAAGGAAATGATAACTAATCTATGGAAATAAATATAAAATAGGATCCCCTTGGTACAGTATAAAATAATTAATTCCTCTTTTGACAGACAACTAGCTTGTCTAGGTGACAAAAATCACTTCTAACTGTGATTTTTTTGCAATTACAGATGCAAAAATTCTTAAAAGAGCTGGATGGTGAATTTCTGAAGGTAACTCACCCATTTATTAACATTTCTTCGAAAGTAAGAAACCCTATCTATCTATATATATATATATATATATATATATATATATATA